GTTGATTCCTGCCTTGGTGTATATATTTAGAGAACTGTTGTAGTATTTATCACACAACTGAACAAAATGGTGGCTTTGATGACATAATCGGACAATGAATAAAGTGGTGATGGTATATAGGTGTCGCTAAATTTTTTTTTCCAAATGTGTAAAATATTCACTTTTATATTTACATCACAAGTTTTACATTGCATAATGTGCAGGCTTGTACTGTAGAGGGCGCCGTTGATCATTCTGTCTAACGCGATTCATAAACCCAGTTCAGGAAATCAAATTTACTGCACTATAAAGCGCTTAGTTTCAGTAGATATCTACATGGATTTGAACACTGGTGACGCTCTATTAGTTTTAGATATACTTGTGGGTTAGAACTTTGGGGATGCTCTGTATGGATATTAAAAATAAATTATTTTCAAGTACTGAATAAATTATAATTACCTCAGATGTGTTGCGTTTACTGTTGTGTTTTGTAGCATCGCTTTTGAATTAATCCCGATCTGATGCAATTGGTAAAATACTGTAGAATACTTTATTTTAACTTGGAATGAATGATTCAGTAAAAATAAAATCCAGTGAATATACCGTCAAAAATGAGTGAAAATAAATTCCATACTAAATGCCCAAAAAGTGTTTTCAGCGAAAATTAATTCCAGCTAAAATAAAGTCTTTTACAGGAACCTTTTTCTTCACATTTTTCTGATGAGAATGTTTTTGATATCAGAAATATATATTTTGTTTTTTGGAACTATTTGACCATGAGACTGCCGTGGACGGATAAGCAAAATTTGATCAAACTATTTCAATGCCCATTTTGTTTTTATATAATACAGAGATTACAACACTAAGCCTGATTTAACTCGGCTGCTGGGTGTGTACCGCAGTGTCACCATGACTATGCATAGCAAAGACAGGTCAAGAATATTCTAGGAAATCTGAAACCAAGTCTTAAAAGACCAAAGCTGGGGCCAACAAGACAGAAAGTTAAGTGTCATAACTTGACTATCCCTGGAAATGATCAGAGGAAGTGGACCAAAAAGTGACATGAATGAAAGCACCCCTAAGTTACTGATAAAACAGTAGCTTGAGGGCGTGATTTAGATTCCCTAGATTGAGAGAATATTAGTTTGGCCAACTGCATTTCAATGGCGAGTTTAATTCATAGTAAAAAATATCACCACAGTGTGATGCGAAACAGGGCAGATCAAAAACCCACATCACCACAGTGTGACGCGCAAGACAGGGCAGATCAAAAACCCATATCACCACAGTGTGACGCAAGACAGGGGAGACCAAAAACCCACATCTCCACAGTGTGGCGCAAGACAGGGGAGATCAAAAACCCACATCACCACAGTGTGACGCAAAACAGGGGAGACCAAAAACCCATATCACCACAGTGTGATGCAAGACAGGGGAGACCAAAAACCCACATCACCACAGTGTGACGCAAAACAGGGGAGACCAAAAACCTATATCACCACAGTGTGATGCAAGACAGGGGAGATCAAAAACCCATATCACCACAGTGTGACACAAGACAGGGGAGACCAAAAACCCACATCTCCACAGTGTGGCGCAAGACAGGGGAGATCAAAAACCCACATCACCACAGTGTGACGCAAGACAGGGGAGACCAAAAACCCATATCACCACAGTGTGATGCAAGACAGGGGAGATCAAAACCCATATCACCACAGTGTGATGCAAGACAGGGGAGATCAAAACCCATATCACCACAGTGTGATGTAACACAGGGGAGATCAAAAACCCACATCACCACAGTGTGACGCAAGACATACTGCCAAACTTTTTATTGTACACTTCCTGAAAGTGGTCCAGAGATTTCAGGGTTATAAATGGTCCAATAACTACAGATTGTGGTAACAATGGTTCATATGTGTATATTCAGTCTTTCTAAAATGTAAGCAAGGAGTTCAAATGAAACGATATTCAGCACTGTCAACATTGTCATTTCGTACTTTGGAAATGTGCAATCCCACAATATCTTCAGCATACACTTGCGGTTAGCACATGCAGCTCGGATTAATAAAATCACTCGCATCTGCTGACGTCAACCCAAGAGAAAATATTGTGGAATTATATATTTTTAATTAAACCAAACATGTACAATAGTTACAAACCTTTTTATTTACTTTGGTTATTAAGTAACATTTCAGGATTCCTATAGCACCTAGGATAAATTCATCTAAATAGACATTGTACTCTTATTTCATTATAAATAAACATCACATGATCTGTTACGTTACAGATACATACGTTGATATAAAACATTATTATACATCTGTCACCATTACGCCATATGTTACAGCGTGCCATAATTTTGCGGTATTTTACGGGGCATTTTCATCCTACCATATAGGGAAATGCAAATTCCAAATATGGAATGATTACGCGCGTAAGCGGCCTCTAATAATAAAAACAAACATGGCTGCCACCAGGTTTTGACTGGACTCCACACAAAGAAGTTCGCCGATTCTGTTCTAAACTTTTTGGATTTTGACATTCCCATGGTGTATCCTTGGTTGGAAAAGATGTATAATAATAAGGTTATTACGAAGACACCTCAAAGTATGCACTCAGACAGTACGCTATGCGTCGGATGATACACCCTGCTGTACTGTCTTTATGCATACTTTGAGGTATCCTCGTAATAACCTTACATTATTATACATCAGACTCCAAAACAATAGAATTCACTCATCTGTTTAAAGCTCTTTGAATAGGCATTTGAAAGTGTCACCATTTTATAATCCTTTTATTCTGAAAACACTCCTTTGTATAGCTTGAATGCATAAGCACTATAGCATGTGGGAAAAATAAAATCCCATCAGTGAATGCAAATGTTCAGACAACTTGAACATTTTTTGATGCCGTAACATTTTAAATGCAACCATATCATTTTCAAATGCATTCTTAACGCTTTCAAATGACTTACAAATGCATTCGTAACACTTTCAAATGCATTCTAACACTTTCAAATGCCTTTCAAATGCATTCGTAATATATTCAAATGCATTCGTAACGCTTTCAAATGACTTTCAAATGCCTTTCAAATGCATTCGTAACACTTTCAAATGCATTCGTAACACTTTCAAATGCATTCGTAACACTTTCGAATAAGTCCACATTGTTTTACGAATAGAAGAATTCCATTTTCGCTGGCAGATGTATAATAATGTTACATACAACAAACAGTTTCCAATCTTATAGACATTCTCCAATACATTGATATACAACATAATAAATGTTAATGTATTGTTATTATACAAGATAATTTCTTGCACTGATTCAGCACAAGAATCCTGACCTAGTGTACCATACTGAATGCTATACTAGTACTACCAGTATAGTGCATATAATCAACATATTGATTCTATTGTTAAAGCGCGGTAGTCGTTGCGCTGCGCATGTGCGACATTTGTGTTGATAAACATTTATTTTCCCACAATCCAATGCGTTCTTCAAATGGCGCTACTTGCACTAATTATCGACAGGTGACTCCTTCGATACCTTCCAATCACATGAAAATTGCCTAATTAAAGCTTGGAAACGTCTCAGTTCGTACTTGTTGATCTGCGTAACAGTCAAAGTCGCCATCTTTGTTTATACGAGACCCATATATCTCGCAAATGCGCAGCGCGACGACTACCACGCTTTAAACTAGTTATTATTCTGAATATATGAATTTAAACAAAGCATTGCTATATCACATCACACAAGGAGACTTGTTCTAACAATGCATAGACTAGATCATGATTGACAAGAATAAATAGGACAGCACAGCATAAATTAATATTATTTTTAAAGTAAGATTCTAGTGAGACTGAAAATATGCACAACCCAACACATTCCAACACCTTCTGGATATATTAATGTCCTTTGTCAGCAATAACTTTTGTGTTGAACTGTTTTCAATGACAAGTGTTGAATTTTGAGGTGGGAGAACTGTCATTGATGATACCCCCAAAAGTACCAGGATGAGTGATATCTTTCATTCCTGTCTTTTTAGTTTCATTAGGCTCCAAAAACAAGCAAGACATTTGATAAGCACGAAACTCATTGGATACATTGTACCATGTGACTAAAACAACGCCACATAGTATCAAACATGTGTACAACAATAGTTTTTGCTAATCACAATATAACTGGCATAGACTGGAATCACAGATACTAAATCTGTATACCAAGTGTATATATCTGTTACAGTAATTGCACAAGGCGGAACAAAAAAAATTGGTTTGGCTATTTATCATGCACACCAGCTTGCACATTTTACATGCTATTACCGGTAAGATACAGTAGAATGGACAAATGATGTTGTTTTCTGTATAATGCTTGTATTCAAAAGCATTATTTAATAAATGTTGAACTTTGAACACATAATTTGTTGTTGTATTAAAGACTCTTAATACAAAGACAAAATTAAAACCACATCATTTTTCAATTTTTCTTAGAACGAATAGCAAAACTCTGAATTGCTGCATTTGTACATAGGATATGCGAGTACAAAGATTATATGCTTTTGGTGCACAACATAAATGAGAATTAACAGATTACAAAAAACATGTTTTCAAATTAAACAACTGATCAAATAAAACAAACTCAGTCACCACACCAAATACTGCTGTCATGACAACGCAAGGATATTATCAACACAGATTTCTTCTGTTACTCTGGTATGGTAGTGCTCACTAACATGTCACTTTCAATAATGTCAACATTATTCAACACCTCAGACTATGTTGCCATTTATATATCACAACAATGTTGCCACTTATATTTTAGCTCAACAATGTTGCATTGTCTCAACAATGCTGTTGTTTTCGTACGACTTCAACAATATTTTCACAGTACAGTATTTCACCGACAATGTTGCCATTTTATCTTTGCAATGTTGCAATCTAAATCACTGCTCAGCAGTCCTCAGCATTTGGTAACGTTTTTGATATCACCTCACAATGTTGCTTCACCTCACAATGTTAAGAGCAGCAAACATGAGTTTCTTTGTCTCTCTCAATGGATGGATTCCGCCAATAATGTTGTTGTGCATGTAAATTCCCTGGAAAATTAGTTTCTGTTGTATGCCAAACTTTTGGAATAATGTGGTTATTTTCCATCTCTATTGCATTTTCATGATTGTCTAGGACATTAACTCCACAGTCTGGGCATGTCTGAGATAGAAATATCAGGTGCTGGCACAGATTAACAAAGGCATCTTGTAAACCTAGAAAACAATATATTATGATTAGTATAGCCTGGGAAAGTCTCAGGAATAATGTTAATATTGTAATAAGGTCACTGGTAGCCTAGTGGTTGTTGCATCAGACTCATGACCCGTAGACCCAAGTTCAAATCCTACATTAGGCTGAACATCAAAAGTGGGTGAGTGTGCCACAGACTCAATGGGAACGCCAATTCCACTGGCCGAGATTCATTCACTAACGAATGCGACTTTGGGGGAACCTTGGTTAATGTCTGCAGGTGCTTGTGTTCTACCGAGCCTGGTTGACGCCAGGATAGCGCATTAAATTGCCATTTGTTGGAGAGATGGCCACCCAGCCCTGTCATGTAGTCCCAAACATGAATATGACTTCTGTGGCAAAAATGCACTATGTGTCAGCACTAGCACTTGCAATTTGCACATACAAAAAGACAGGAGTGACAACAGTGACATTGAATGTCTGGAACTGTCGCCTGGCACAACATATATGTTTAAAAAAAGAAAGTATGTTAATATGGTGATAAGGATGTCCTTATATGGTGTTAGTGTAGACTAACCTTCATTGGTCAATGCAGATGTTTCGAAGAATAATGCACCGATAGACGTAGCATAGTCCTGCCCCTCTTCCTTGCTGACTTGTCTGTGTTCTGTTAAATCACATTTATTTCCTAAAACGCACAAAACTTTAAAAAAAATATAGTTTATTTAATCTGCTCTACATAGTATTGACCAAACTAGTGACATTATTTTGGTTATTGATGCTTATTTTTCATTTTACCCCTACTCAGCTGAGATAGCTCAGCTATAAGCAATGTACATTTCAATTAAAGAACTAAAGATATCATAAGCTAGTGAACAAATCTGAGAGAGGTCTATCTGAGGTACTTATATGTATAGTAACAAAGCAATCAGACTTGCAGTTTTTAATAAGAATTCAAAAATATCACTTTTTACCAAAAATGAGAAAAATATTCATCAAAATTAGAGAATTGAAGATATCATCACGAAATAAACAAATCAACGAGAGGTCTGTCCAAGGTACACATACACCAAGTATCAAGGAATAAGGTTTGTAGTTTTCAAGAAGAAGTTGAAAAAATAAAACATTGACACGGACAGACAATCATTCATATGATAAATTCCGCTGTCGACAGCGGAGCTAAAAACTAACAAAAGAATGATGATTTAAGATGGTCAATGAGGTAACTATAGCAACCATGGTTAGCAATGGTCAAAGCATATTTTGGACTAAGGTTAGTAATCACAATATTAAAATAAAAACCATACTGTGAAACACTTTATTTCTGCTTGAAATCTGCATGGAAGGGATGATTCAGTCAAAATAAAATCCAGCAGATATTCCTTTTTTCTTTTATTTCACATTCATCTCATCAAAAATCAGTGACAATAAACTCCATACACAAATGACCTAAAAAATCTTTGTAGCAAAAATGAATTCCAGCTAAAATAAAGTATTTTTAATTTAGTCTCAAATGAAATAAGTTTGTTAGAATATTTCAACATTGAAATGGGTCAGAGATAGAAGCTGATCATAGCAGTTGATAATGTTCTTTGACCACAAAAATTTTACCTGCGAGTTCAACATGGTTCAATCATAGCAGGTGGCCATAGCAACTGACCTTGGCAGTTGAATATTTTCTTTGACCAAACAAGTTTCACCATGCAAGTTCAACAGGTTCAACCATGGCAGGTGACCATAGCAATTCACTATATCAGTTGTAAAATGAATTGACCATGGCAGTTGCAATGCTCTAGTATTGGCGGCTTTAGTCTTGCAGCCATCAGTTTTACTTGACATTTAGCATTGGGGGCAGTACTAATGAAATTCAATTGAATTCAGAAAATATTCCACTTACTGATTCCTTCATCCACATTCCTTTGAAGTTCTGAAAATAAATTTTAAATTAAATTAAATAATAAATTCATGAAATCAGTGAAATACAACCAGCTTCATAGTAAAATGCATCTTTTGTGTACACCCGTCATGAGTGAGTATAACTAACTAGTAAATATAAGGAAAAGAATACAAATAGACCATTTCACAATCATTGCAAGATACTGTGTTAGATGAGAAATCAAGCATTAAAAGGGAACAAACAAAGGTAATGGCATCAAGTGGGGTCAAATCATCACACGAGATTCAACAAACACGAAAGTAGTTTTTGTGCATTTTTATTATTATAGCAATTGATGATGATCAATTTTGATGAAATACTGTAAATTCTGTATTAGAAGCCGCATCCCTAATAGAAGTCGCATCCATACTATTTGAATAATTGAGAACCAAAAATTCATCATTTCTCATATGTGTAGATGCTCCAATAGAAGCTGCATCCCCTCTGTTGCATTGTACCATTTTAATAGAAGCCGCAGTTTCTAATACAGATTTTACAGTAATTGTATCTGATCTCATATTTCCCTCTGAAAGATCCACATTTAAACATTGAGCTATAAATAAGTTAGAAATAAAATCATTCAATTTTTGTAACAGACGTTTGGTCTGTGAGATCTCGCAGTGTAGGGGAAAATACTCTAAAATGACTAGTTTTCACTGGGTTTAAATTTCACTGATTTACCATTTCAGGCATATTCAGTGGGTTTTAAATTCACGGTTTTATCATTTAGATAATGTGTTCTATGCTAAATTTTACATATTCACTGGGGTTTAATTTAGTGTATATCCAGTCATCAAATTAAGCAAAATTAAAACCCAGTGAATAATTAACCCATTTACAGTAATTGTAATTGCTTAGTGAATAGTCTAATCAAATAAATGACAGAGCAAATACAAAATGAGGGTTTGTGAAAATGTTCCCCTGCAAACAATAACCTTCTTATCTTTCAATTCCATGGTGGTAAGTTTGAATTGGGAACTGATAAAAAAATTGAGGTTCAGAATTCAAAAGATAGTATTTGTCGGGTACTTCTTTCTTCTGATTTTTAACTATCCATAACATCCATTCCTTGGTTCCAACCTTAGTGCTATAAAGGTTTAATTTAACAGTTTTTTTTTCCAAATAAAAAACACTGAGCAGAAATATCCAAGATGGTTGACCGATGTACCCTACTCTGAGGAAATTTTAACACTTACCATTGGGTGTCATTGAATGAAATCGTAACACTTACCATTAGGTGTCATTGAATGCAATTGTTACACTTACTATTTGGTGTCATAGAATGAAGTTGTAACACTTATCATTGGGTGTCATTGAATGAAATCGTAACACTTATCATTTGGTGTCATTGAATGAAATTGTAACACTTAGCATTGGGTGTCATTGAATGAAATTTTATCACTTACCATCCACCCATGACTTGATTGCATTGAATGTATCCGGTACTGTAATATCATAGACTAATAGTGCAGCGTTAGCTTTGCGGTAATACATTGGCGCCATTGAACGAAACCTTTCCTGTCCAGCTGTGTCCCATAGTTGCAATTTTACTCTATGCTCATCAATATTTCTGAAATAAAATTGTTTTAAATTATTAAATTTCTTTTTTTAGGTTTATACATTTAGTACTCAGTAGAATACTTAATCAAAAACTGAAGAATGTGAAAATAAACAAAAATACAATACATACGTTCTTCTTGAGTGAGTATACATGTTGGTAGCTAAAATACTAAGAGTACCCTCTAACTGAGTGGTAAAATTACATTGTTTCCCCTAAGTGTGGACTAATAAGGCAAGTTGGAATTTAGGATCCCCTAGGTGTGTGGTGATAAATTGTGCTTTGCTTTACATTAATTATTTCTAGGGTTTTAATTTTGATGCATGTATTTTTTGCTAAAAAGTAAAAGCTGCTAAATTAAATCCACATGAACACAGGTTTTCCTGGCCAACACATGAAATTAAAAGCCAGCGAATATGCTCAACATATCAAAATATGAAAATTAATGCTTTTATAGTACCCCTAAGGAAGGAATGAGAGTACCTAAGTGAGTGGTCATAAATTACCCTGTACTCCAAAGTGTAGATCAATAAGTTGAGATTTAAGAGTTACTACATATAGTTTGGTCCAAGCATAAATATTTACACTGTATTATTAATTAAGTAGGCTGATTAGGTAGCCATCTTAGTTTGCTTTCTTAACTGCCACATATCTAACCTGAAGAATAATATTCCTAAATATATTTCATTTATTAGAAACATAAGTTGTAATTATCGATGACAATGATACTCAGGTTTTTTCTAGAAAAAATGAACAAGAGGGAGCCCAGGCGATTGACTTGGAAATGCCATATTGGAAGTTTTCTGCACCGTTTTAACAGTGTGTTTATTGCTATTGATATATTTTTGGAGTAATTTTAGTGTACTTGGTGTCCAGACACATTGTCAGCTGGTGTTGCTGGGAAGTTTTCATAGAAAAAAATATTTTTGAGAAAGATTTCATGTTGTACAGCAGCACGGAAGTGAGTGGTTCAAGAAATATTGGTATATTTATGACTTGAGCGCTGTGCCCCTGTTCCCCAGTTTAGAAAACCCCTGATGTATCACTCATTATCATAATAACACTTTATATCAAATGCAAAGCCAGCTGATAAACAGCTTGGAAGTTAAGTTACGCCTGGACTACACTGTGAGTGAGAAATGATACGTTAGAATTTGAAACTCCCTAAGTGAGACATTAATTACATTGTACCCCCTAAGTATAGAATAAAAAGTGACTTTATCTCTACATGCAAGCAAGTGGTAATAATATTGTACCCCTTAACTTACAATTTTATAGTGAAGAAAGAAGCTCCAATAGTCGGTGTGACTTTCTGACTAAAGTGTTTGCTAACGTAACGAAGAACAACACTCGTTTTACCAACACCTACAGAACAAAAACAAGAAATATACGGTGTAAGAACATTTGTGTCTGATTCTACAGAATAAAAACAAGAAAAATACGGTGTAATAACACTTGTTGTGTCTGGATCTACAGAATAAAAACAAGAAATATACAGTGTAAGAACACTTGTGTCTGATTCTACAGAATAAAAACAAGAAAAATACGGTGTAATAACACTTGTTGTGTCTGGATCTACAGAATAAAAACAAGAAATAAACTGTGTGAGAACACTTGTGTTATGTGGATCCACAGAATAAAAACTATGAATAAATAAATACAACTTATCCCTGTTAGTTATTAGTTTTACTGTATCAGATTTGTAATTTGGGTTAAACACCTACAAAATGTAAAATATTACATTTACAATTACATCAAACAACTACATGTAATACAAATGTAAGTGTCAAAAATTGTTGTCTGTCAAAATGTAAATACAAATATACATGCTGCTGTATGGTAACGTTCTTTTAAGATCTGAAAATCTCAACAAAATTTTCTTCAGATCTGAGGTCAGAAACAAGTTCATTTGCTGCACCCTCTTAAGGCAATAAGTGATAATTTATGGGTATTACTCTACATTTTTTTTTAATTCCTGTTTTCCAACTCCAACTCAGCAGAATTGAGTAATGCTGTAGAAAGTGAAAAAAAATAGTGTAATTACTGCCATTTCTGATTAATAATTAATTAATTTATTTCATCCTTAGAAATAGTTTCAATTCGCCCATTATGGGTTGGCAGGTTGTTCTTTATTGTTTAAGTAATAAAGTACAATACATACAATAAAATAAAATGTCAGTCATTTTCTGATTTCAAATATTTTACATAAATATTCACCAATTAATATGTCCTCTCTTGAACTCATAATATGCTTAAATATCTGGACATCACTTTTTAATTCTTCTGGAATATTGATATTTATGCACCTATATTTTTTTTTGTCAACATTGCTTACATGATCTGTTTTCTAAGGATGTTTTGGGTTGGGTATGCACTAATGTATATACATGTATATCAGTATTAAGGCTTGTAACTGCATCTAGTGTTATGTCTACGTTCTGTACCACAAGTATTATAAAATGTACATCCTTTTTTTTGTCTCATGCTGACAAAATTCTAGAACATTCCTTTTGACATTGTTCACAAAAATAACCATATTTTAAAAATGTTTGACCAGGACATGTAGCCAAATGGGAATGTGTCAATTTGGTCCAAAATAGAAAAAAAATAGAGAAAAATACATAAAATTTGTCCTTTTCACCACCAGTTCCCTTACTTCACTACAAATTCACAAAATAGTCTCATGTATAATAATAATAACTTATTAGACTGCCGAACCATCAGTGGGTTCAGTATGGTAAATAACAAGTATTACAAGACTAAGAAAATTTTCTAAATACAATACAATAATAAAAATAAGAATAAATGGGTTGAAAAAAGAAATGTTAAAAAATTACTAGAATGAATACCATTAAAACAAGTCATTGTCAATGACACAGTTCTCGTTATGTTTTTAGTGACTGTCAAACAATGAAAAGAATAGTCAGATTCCGGTTTGTTTTAATATTAGTATTTAACATATTAACTACAAACTACAATGCAAGAAACAGGTATAAAGACTAAGTATAAATGAAATAGGTCAATAGAAAACTCTTAAACAAAAAGGCCACCAGTCTGCCATTCTGAATCGAATCAGGAAAAATAAAATAATGAGCATCTGTAACCCACCATGACTGATGTCAATGCTAAATTTGAATGAAATCAATCTTGAATAAAATTTTGTCTTGTACACATCGCTATGAGTCTCATATCGAACAGGACGCGGCACGACGACTGCCACCCTTTCAAATTTGCTAAATGACATGTCCCTATTTAAACGCGTTTTACAGTACTGTAAAATGACTAATTTTCACTGGGCTTAAATTTCACTGATTTACCATTTCAGGCATATTCAGTGGGTTTTAAGTTCACGGTTTCGTCATTTAGATAATGTGTTCTATGCTAAATTTTACATATTCACTGGGTTTTAAATTAGCGCATTTTCCAGTCAGCAAAATAAGCAAATTTAAAACCCAGTGAATAATTACCCCCTTTACAGTAGTTAACAAGTTTATCCAGGTCAATGACCCCAGGAATGTAGACACTGAAAGATGAGAATTTGAAAACTCAATGGTAAATCAAATCTCTAAACATAACAAGGCAAACTGTGTATAAAGTACACAATAGACAACTATGCCATGGTCATCTAATAATAGGATATTGTAATAGAGTAGAGAGAACACTGTAGACATTGAGATATCACTCAACCAGCTAGCTCTTAAAATAACAACACAAACACTCCGTGTGTACAATAAATCTGTACCATTGTTCATAAATAGGGCAAGGCAGGACATGTATAGTACAGTCTGGGTGTAACTCCTAAGATGGCTATCAGCCGGCTTTGTAATATTGTAATCTTAAAACAAGTATTGTTATCAATAATTTCAACTTATTCACTTAAAATTTTATAAGCAACTACTGGGTCTGAACAAATTCACCAGGGATTTTTTTAAACAAGGGAACAGGGGTGCAGCGCCCTCATGCCATGCACCCCCTTACCCTGGGGAGCAGATTCTCTGGCAACGATAAAATTCTGATTGATCAGGGATCACATGTGGCCACAGTCTTCAACTGTGACCTGTCTGATAGTAATTTTGGCCCCAATTAAAAAACCTTCCTGACTACACCGTGGTGAAACAAGCGTTTCATGAACACAAAAACTAAAACTTATCGTTGATTCTATCTGTGCAAAGTTTATTGAAAGAAGAGAATCCACAGTTGAGAATATATGCAGAGTTCAAAATCAAATATAAAAGACACCCTTAGAAAATAGAATTTGTAGACAATACTCACTAAATAAGATGGAGGATGAATTACTACTTTGTTCTAAATATCCTGACATATGTTGAATTCCCTGATAAAATCAACCAATTCATTCCAGAAACTTACACATCTACTTAAGAATAAAGATGAGGAAATGATCACTAATTTAAAATAAAATATAGTCTCACTATGCGATTGTTGAAACCTAATTCAGTTAATCATGCTTCGAGTCAAAATGTTACATGCATGTATAATGGCATGTGGATATTTCACTGTGCTTTATGATATATATATTTCATTATATTTACAAAAAATCTGACCACGATTTTATGACTGCTAGTGAAGTACCGGTAGTGATAAGCTGTAAAATTAGTCATGTGACTGTCCTATAAAGCAGTCTCAAGTTGAAACAGCTGCTCAAGCCAGCAAAAATGACCATGTACATGTATACCGGTATGTGTACGTGTACATATCGACTTTAGTTCAGCTCTGATAAAAATCAGCACGACATGGTTCCAATCATGTAAACACATTGGGGCTGAAATCCCACCAATAACTATGCACATGTTACCACACTGTGTGGACAACTATTCAATTAACGAATGGTAGCACCCATGATTGCAAAAGCTGTTCTTCTGCTTTGAGCACACCTGTTTCTCAAGAAGAGTATATTCTGCATTAACAACTGTTGCTCTGACATGCATCAAGCAATGTAAATAAACATAACACAAGCACAACACAAAAATCATTATCAGCCATGTTGTTTGAGAGCCCTGTTCTGTTCACTGAATCACAGTCCCTCTATAGGTCTCGATAGAGGGACTGTGACTGAATGAACTGGATTGGTGGATCTTGGCTTTTGTTTGGTTTGACTGTGTAAACGCATTTGAGATAATTTCCTGTTAATCAATGGGAGGAGCAGTAAGTCCGCTTAGATAAATGTAGCAAATAATAAGTGGTACTGTTAAATTACTAAAAATTTACGACTTTTAGTGAAATGGTAAAATACCAGAGAAAATATAGCTACTATTATAGCATACAGACATATGAGAAAAGATGAATTTTTGGTTATCAATTATTCAAAATAAATGAGAGTGCCTTCTAATAGGGATGAGGCTTCTAATATAGATTTTACAGTAACACAGATTTATTATAGATTACGGGTACTGCATTTAGTGAGTAGTGAGCCGTCACTGACACTCAAACTTGCTGTGAGGCAACTAGCTTTGCTAATTAACTGGCATGTCATTGAGGCAATAGAAAATAATATATTGATATCGGATTTGTTTTTGTACCATCTTGAACCCTTCTCAGAAAATAACACAAGGTTAAAATATGACATTGGCTCATAACTATGTCACAGAATGTGCATAAACGTAGTTTGCTAGTATTAAAATTATATAAAATACTCAGAAATCCTTACTGTAATGTTGAAAATTCTGAAATAAAAATATATGGTCACCAAACTAAGTTTTCCACAAAACGACCTCAAATACTGATCACAAATAAATTTTTTAAATAGTCTACAATTGGTTCCGATGGCAGAAACATTCCATCTAAACGTTGTGTTCAGTGACCTATGCGAAAACAAAGCGTACAATACCAGTTAACATTGATACCATTGCACGATTTAAAGAAAATGGGATTGCTTTAAGGTTGACAAGTTGTAAACATAATTGTGTTGATAAATATTTGTGTTTTCCTCACCCCTAGACCTGTAACCTTGTCTTTGTGTTTTGGTGGTCATTTTTTTTTATGTTTTTATTTCTCAATTGTAAAAGCGTTGTACCTTTTGTTACACATATAACATTTCAAAACTGAATCACCTTCATTGTGTAACAAATATGATTATTAATATATTATTATATTATAATTATTAAGTCATTTTGAGGGTTAATTACCAATGTTTGAAAACAAATGACCTTTGTTTTATTTTTTGCATGAGGAAGAATAGGGTAAACACTTTTGATTGTGTGTTTTTTGCCAAATTTGTTCATTTTGGAGGGACATTTGTCAATTTAGCACCTTTGTGCTTTTTTTTTTCAACGATGAATTCAATTTAGTTTTTTTTTATTTACTTTGTCTGTCATATATTCTTAAGAAATAGGTGTGCAGAATGTTTTTTTCAGTGAAAAATTACGTTATCAATTCTGCCACCCCCAGAAATTCTAATGGTCCATCCCTAATGGATATTAGAAGAATACCCCCCAATGCCATTCATTTCAGAGAAAAATATTTTGCTGACTGCACCCTGTATGTACCGAGAAATGTCATTGAACTGTACCACATATCTCCCGTCGAGCCACGTGGTATAAAATCATTCCTACATATGAAACGAAAACTCCTTTGAATTCACAGTTATTAATAAGTTGTATCTAGTTCCCAAAAGTTGGATTTCCGCCAATTTCGTCACACCCCCACGCACATGCACCTACTAAACAGTAATTTACTTGAGAAAATAAAGAATTACATTCGATGTTCTCCCTATTTTTCAGAATTGCGTAAACCATTACATAATAAAATGTCATGGTGACGTACAAAGTAAACTGTACTCGAGTAACAAGGCAATGTAAAATGGTCTGTCACGTACACAGTGCACATACAGACCTGAACTATTAGGATTACTTACCCTGTGAACCAAGAACTACGACTTTGGCTTCAATTGATCGCATATTCTTCGTTTACAACCTCTAACATTGCATTGCCCGTTTGCTGCAGGTAAAACCAGGGTCGAGGTATTGAGGACAATCCAAAAACTGGTGTCTGGCACGGAGAAGGTGAGCGACGGTCGGTTCCTAACTGCGGAATAGAAGTGGACAACGTCTATGTACGTTTAGTACCAAGCTATAGTGGGGTCACTGTCTCGTGGAATAAAGGTCTTATTCATAAATTCATAATAAGTACGGCTTACTAAATAAACAAAGCAAAACAAGCCGAAACATAAAACACAACGCTTCCACTGTCAATGAGCTTTCACCTAAACGACCTCTGACCTTACACGTGATTTCAGTTACTATTTCAATAGAACATTATTCACCAAAATTGTTGTTGAAAGAAACATATTCATTCTAATATTACATTTTATAATTCACAATATTAAATTATTTTATTGATTCCTACAATTAAATAGCGACAACCGATCATTAAATTAAGGAATCGTTTGAAAAGTGAACGAAACGGTAGTCTGATAATGCTAGATATAGTCCGTATTCTACCAGGTTATTGATTATTGCCAAAATGGCAGACGAGACAGCCAAGGCGAGAGCCGCCGTCCCTGGAGGAGACACCATATTTGGGAAAATTATAAGAAAGGAAATACCATGTGACTTGTTGTATGAAGATGACCAGGTACCAATTATTTTGAGTCAGCAACTTAACCAGGGTATCGAAAGAGAAACTTCAAAGTAATAGTGCACGAGACAATTTGTAACCCCGCCCCCAAACACGTTGCTCTGAGTATATCGGGTTACTGTAAAACCATTTGTTTTCGCTGGGTTTTAATATTTTGAGCAATTTCACTGGGTTTTAATTTCACGAACTTCAAAAGCAATCAGTCCCATTATTAGTTGAGATGTTCGGGTGGATTTAATTTAATCAGACTTTACTTCTCAGTGGAACCAGCAAAAATAAAAAAAATAGTGAACTATTAATTTATCTACAGTAAACGGAAATTTGTCCCTCAGATGGAAACAGGTTGGTGGGTTGCAGGTTGCGTGCAAAAGTGAAGTACCTTTTCTATATATTTGTATTTTTAGTCCCCGTTCGGACGTAGTCCGAAAACGAGGACTTATGTTTTGCCCTGTGTGTGTGCGTTCATGCGTCCGTGCATCTGTGCGTCCGTGCGTCCGTGATCACCTGTATCTCAAACATGCATGGACCAATTAAGTTCAAACTTCACTCATACATCACACATTCTATGGGACATATGCACATGCATTTTTTTCATGACCCGATTAACAATAGCCGAATAGCGGCCATTTTATGGCCGAAACTGCATCAAAATCGCACATTTTCACCATTCCCGACCCGGATCTCAGTTATGCATAATAGGGTCTTGATGCACAAATAATTTTTTTTTCCCGGATCAAGTTCGAAATGGCCTACCGGCGGCCATTTTGTTATAAAGAATTCAGTTCTGGATCCGTATCCGAGACATTTCTGGATTGATCAAGTTCAAACTTCACACACACATGGTACATCATGGTACACTGCTTAACAATAGCTGAATGATGGCCATTTTAAGGTCGAAAATGCATCAAAATCACATATTTTCACAATTTCGGAACAGGATCTCAGTCATTTAGGATGGATTTTGTTCAGATTTAGTACAATGTGTTGTACATATGCAGTTGCATTTCGGTCATGATCTGCTTTGAATGTATATGTCACTCAAATATGAACGGAACGGGGACGTGTCATTGAGACTTGT